TGGTTTAATTACAAAATATTGGTGGCACCCCATTAGAATCAACAAAGCAATCTATATTCTATAATAAGCTCTTCCTAGGAGTTCAAGCAAATATAGCTGTTTGTGATTTTATTTTGTAAATAAAGTCATGCATTACGTATGTAATCTTTAAGAAAGCATGAGTTGGATCATCCAGGAATAGAACAAGCTTATGAATATAGATGGGCGGAGTGAAAAATATTGGAAGTTGCTGAGTTTTTAAAATATTTAACTATAGTGTTGGCTTCCAAACAACTTGGAATCTTTATCTGTTAAATTACTATGAATGTCAAATTTACTAGCAACTTTATGAAATGTGATCTGCCAAATACACTATTAGTAATTGGTAGTGATCTCCATAGACTGGGATGGTTTTATATTTAAAGTGGGAATTTGGTTTTATTATTTCATAATATTTTATTATTATTATTATTTCAGTCTCTTAAAGAAACAAGTTTTATACAATCACTTCCTCATTCTCCCTACCAATCCCAAACATGGCCTCCACTCCGTCATCTGGCACACACAAAACTGAATCAGCTAAATCTGTTGCCCAATCAGCATGGGATGGGTCACACTGACAAAAGAGAACAGTGTATACCTGTCATCCTGGAGTGGGTGTTTTTGTTTGTTTATTTTGAGCTCTAGATGTGAGCCAATTTTTAGTTATTAAGGGGAACTTTATGAAAAAAAAAACATTGTTTGTGGTCCTCTAATGGTTTCTCAAACTTTCAGACAATTCTAGCTGATCAAAACAACATATCTTCAGTTCAGGTTTAGAAACACTAAATTTCCAAATACATCTATATGTGGTACTTTAATTATTGTTAGATGATCCTTGGAAATTTTCGATTGATGTATTAAAGAGACAAATCAAGAAAGAAAGAGTAGAATCATACTCACTGTCAAACAACTTGACACAACAAGAGAAACAATTCAACAGGGAAATCATATTTCAATGAAAACAAGACAAAACTAAATTATATAAACATTGAGGCATTGATTTCTCTCAAAGAGTATTTTAGAATTGGTACTCATTGTGTCAAGTTTGATAGTATTAACTGAGTCTTTTTAGCTAAAAGAGAGGGCACAGAATTATGCATCCTAAGAGCATTCTCTTAGAAAAATAATTCCTCAAAAATTTTAGGAATCATTCCTTCTGTTAACTATGTGGGTTATTTTTTCCTTTTTGGGGGGGTGGGGGGTTTGTTTGCTTGTTGCCTTTGACTGGGAGAAAGAGTGAAGGTTGCTTTAGACAGGCTGTGAAACTTGAGTTGTGTGGGCGTCCCTCTTGCTAAAAGGGTTGTGTCACAAATGCAGTGAGAACAGCAACAAGATGAGCTGTGTGCATTTGATAAACAAGAAGAGATTGGCAACCTGACCTAATCCTCACCTCCTGAATAGCCCTTTCATGCTTTATGGGACGTACTGTGATTAGGTACTGATCCTGGCTCACGAAGCCTTTGCTAACAGCGCATGCCAAGGAGAGGAAAAAGTTATTTTGTTCTAGGCCTATTATTTGGAAGGATATGTAGTAATATCTTCATTATCTTGCCTGCCTTTGAGTTGAAACCATAATTTCCCAGTCTACTAGCTAGCAGTGAACCTCACCATAGGAGAGTTGCTGACCACATGCTTGCAACCAAGCATGGGCACCAGATTTACTGTCATTGATGTTTATTGTTATTTTAACAGCAGTGTGGTTCTTTAGTTCTTCATTTTTAGAAAGGCACCAGAGTACATGATGTGTCATAGGCTTAAAACTGGCTTGCTGTTATTTTTGCTTGCTAGGATTTTTTTATTATTATTATTAAGACTAAGACAGAAAAATAGCAATTAGGTCATTTACATAACTATAAATTAATGTAATCTCTTAAGAAATTCTGTAAGTTAACATCAGTCCACACATTAAATATAACTCAGTGGCATCCAGATAGATCTATAACACTTCTAAAGCAGGATTTATTTGCAAGTTTTTATAAATGACTTTACGTTTTTTGTTATATATTTAAGTTATTACTGTGTGTGTTTCCTTGTTTTAATGTTTCTAAGGCTTTGTTGACATTCCAACTTCTTAATGATAAGCTGGGTAAAAGAAACCTGAAGTAAAATAAAAGGGAAAAGGGGGAAGGTTGGGGCCTTTGTGTTTTTAAGGGGAAATTTTGTATTGTTGAACCTTAAAAAAAATGGAATTTATTAGTCTCCTCCTTCGGAGATCTTCAAAACCTGCCTGGATGTGACCCTGTGCCAAGTGCTCTAGGTGTCCCTGCTTGAGCAGGGGGGTTGGACTAGATGATCTCTCGAGTTCCCTTCCAACCTCAACCATTCTGTGATTCTATGATTATGAAATGCAGTTCATTTTGAATTGATAAGCTAGTATAGTATATTATTCAAAACAAAACTTTTTGTGTCTCAATCATGCACACAAACTTGGCATGCAGAGGAAAAAAAAAGACAAAGTTTCAAGTTTTCACTAGGTGATGTGTGCCAGGGCATATGCTGAAATGTGACGTTGGGTTAGATTTGGTCAAGAGATTACGAAAAGGCATTACTGTATATGGTACAGGTGTGCAATCATGAAAGAATTACTACTGACCATGAGGTCAGAATTAAACTGCCCAACCTTCTCTAATTTCTAAGAAGCAATTAAAAAGTTCTTTAGTTCATCGTACACCAAAGATGCAGTGTCCCAATGACAGTTATGCGTTTCAGAGAGTCAACTTTTTCCCCTTACTCTTCTAACCTGTCAAAGGAAATGAAGGTAATGCTGTACTGTTGCTTTGTCAGACATTGTCCAAAAACTTTTCTTAAGCAGTTTTGCATCAAATTCATTTGATGATAGTTGGATGTAAAATTAAACTTTCATGCTTGTATGCCTTTTTTATATTGCTTATGGTAGAAGTTTGGTTGTGTGCCATCTTTTAACAGGCTCAGTTTCGAACCTTTAGCCTATGCTTAGAATTTTTTTTTTGTTAGAATGTAAGACTTAGTATTATGAACAACTCACAGAAAGCTACAAACGGACCGCCCAGGGAGGCTGTGGAGTCTCCTTTGGGAAATCTTCAAAACCCGCCTAGATGTGACCCTGTGCCACGTGCTCTAGGTGTCCCTGATTGAGCAGGGGGGTTGGACTAGATGATCTCGAGAGGTGCCTTCCAATCTCAGTCATTCTGTGATTCTATGATTCTGTAATCCACTGAGAGAGTACTTCATATTTCTGGAAGCAGGAGCCTCACACAAGCGATGCAGTCAACATACTCTACATCTTTCACAGTTACAAATTAAATGTCCCAAACATACCTGACCAGACTTGAATAGCACTACTTCAGCTTTGTTAGGTATAGAGTGTAGAGTTGCTGACACAGACATTGCAACGCAGGCAACTTGGACATTTTATGGACCAGACTGTGCTGTGAACTGGACACAGGACTCTAAGAATAGACTGGCACAGTAGAAGTCACAGTACATGTACTAATCTGAACACTAATCTGAATGAGGTGAGACATGTGAAGGCATACCTGCTTTGCAGACTCCAGATAGTCTGCATAGCTTCAACTAGTAATGTCCAGATATGGGAATAGCCATGCTCAGGGATTTTTCATTTGGAAACAGCAGGAACCTCCAGCCTGCAAGCATCACTAGGATTAGGCAGCAATGAAGTTAGCGGCCTGAGAACTGCAATTCTGGGTGTAAGTACATAATCCTTTTGTCTTTGGAGCCTTGATGACGGCTATGATACCGATTGAGTAATCAATGGGCAAATTACCTAACCTCTCTCTAACACCCCCCCATACATAAATTGAAGACAATAATTAGATAAATACAACATTGAAGATTAAATAATGCTTGTACATACTGCAAGTGTCATAGGAGATATAAAAGTGTCATTTCTTGCTGGTTCACATTCTGGGTGGAAAAATCTTGCAGAGGGCAGCATATCTTCTACAGCTGAAGGGAGAAAATATTTGTGGCAAAGGCTAAGTAGGTATGCTGTTGTCTCTATGCTTCTTCTTAATGCTTGTAACACAAATTCTGTAGCTAACAATATATTGATTTCAGAAATATATTTTCCGCATAACGTTCTTCTTGATTTTTTTTAAGCACAAAGAGAAATTCGACTCTAAGGTGGAGAGGGAAAAGGAATGGATGTAAAATCATCTTGGGGGTGGGAACGAGGGGAGGGGGAACACGACAGGGACACCACTTTCCCTGCCCATCCAGCGTGACTTTGGGAAGCAGCCCGCTCCCCCTCTCCCCGCCCGGAGGCGCGCAGGGGCTGCGGCACGACGCGGCTGTCGGCACCCGCTCGCCTGGCGCTTCCTGCCTCTCCCGGCGGTAGCAGTGGGAGCCGGGGGGAGGCCGGGGAAGGGGCGCGGGGACACGCTGCGAAAGCCGCGGGGACGAGGCGGGGTCCGCTGAACGCCTGCACGGCGGCCCCGCGGAGCGCGCAGCGCGGAGCAGCCCGGTAAGGAGCGAGAGGCCCTGCGGTGGTGGGGGCAGTGGTGGGGGAAGAGGCGGAGATCTTTTTCTTGCTGCTTGATTTCCTCTAAGGGCTGCTGCTGCCGCATGTGTGGGTGCCCTGCGGCAGCGCCGGCGCGGGGCACGCAGGGGCTGCGGCGGCGGGGGGGGGGGCCGGGGGG